ATATTTCTACCATGATAGGACTAAACAATCATATAGTTCATCCTCCAAAACTAAAACATACTATATATGATGTTACTCTTACACGGAGTTAATTATTTACATTTATGTTTGCGTTTATTTTATTAACTTTACCTTTCCATTTCATTCCACTTAAAACTTGCTCACATCCAAGGTATTTTAATGTTATTTTTCTTTTTCTTTTTTTTTTTTGCATTCTTTTAATTAAATATTGTCACCAGTTACATCTTTTCCATAGCCAATGAAGTTGGATCTTTTAACGAGTAAAAATTTTCAATTGAACAGTTGCGTGCACATTAGGATTCAAATTATATCAAATGAATGTCAAAAGTGCCTTCTTGAATGGAATACTTGAAGAAAGAGCTTATGTTGAACAACTTAAAGAATTTATTGATCCTAAATTTCCACATTATGTCTATAAATCGAATAACGATTTATATGGTTTTTAACAAGCTCCTAAAGTTTGGTATGATAGACTAACTGCATATCTCATGCAACATGATTTTATAAGAGGTGGTGCAGATGGAAACACATTGAGGAAATTATCACCATAGCACAGATTTATGTTGATAATGTCATTTTTGGTTCTCCTATTGATTCTCTTGCTCATGAATTTGTTGAATGCATGAAACAAGAATTTGAGATGAGTATGGTTGGAAAATTAAGTTACTTTCTTGGTTCCAAGTAAAGCAAACTGATGTTAGGTTGCTCATATCTCAATTGAAATATGCAAAAGATTTTGTCGAGCTATTTCGACTAGACAACAAGAAACATACTAGAACCTCCATGACCACGAATGTCAAGTTAGATCATGATTTTACACGTAAAAGTGTTGATCAGACACAATACATGAGCATGATAGGTAGTTTACTTTATCTAACTACCAGTAGACCTGACATAGCCTTTCGTGTTGGGTTATGTGCGAAAAAGTATTTTCGGAAGCTGTTTTTATGTTGGTACAAATCTTGTAGCCTGGATGAGTAAGAAGCAAAATTTTATCTCATTGTCCGCGGCAGAGGTAGAATGTATAGTTGCAGAGAGTTGTTGCACTTAACTATTTTAGATGAAGCAGATGTTAAGTGATTATAGAGTTAAATAAGGTACTATGACTATATTTTGTGATAACACAAGTGCCATTAATATTTCTAAAAATCTAGTTCAACACTCTCGAACCAAACATATTGATATACGACATCACTTTTTTCGAGAGCTTGTACAGACCCATATTATAATTCATGAACACATCTCTACAAAAAATCAATTAGCTAATCTATTTACCAAACCATTAGATTGTCTAAGGTTTGAATCTCTTAGGAAGACTATTAATGTCTATGTACCTCTTTGATTAGGTACTTAGGTGCATGCATGTACTGCTCATAGAATTCATTAATTCATTCTTGCATGCATATCATTTTCTTTATATTTGTTTTATTTTATCTTTTTTTTTTAAAACAAACAAAAAAAATATAATAAATATTTTTTTTGTGTCTCTGGACATTGTATGGTGTGCTTAAATTTTCTTTTGTGATCGAGTATGCATTGTATGGCGTGGTTATATGTAATGCAGTTTTTTAAACATTGCGAAAAGTTTTGTCTTCCGCAACGTTTAAAAAAGGTCGCGAAAAATAAAAAAATTCGCAACACTTAAAAAAGGTTACGAAAATGCAATATTAGCAACATTCACTTAAAAAATGTTGTCAAACCTCGATTTTGTTAAGCAATAGTAACATTCATGTATTAGAATGTTGCGATAGACCCTTTTAGCAACATTTAACCNTTTGTTAAGCAATGGCAACATTCACATATTAGAATGTTGCGATAGATCCCTTTAGCAACATTTAACTACCAAATGTTGCCTTTTATGTGTTGCAAATGGTGTTTTTTGGTGTAGTGACATTTGTACTCTCGGTTCCAATGCTTGAGCCATTCTGTAAATTTCTTTCACATTTGTACTCTCGAGTTCCAACACCTTCACACACTTTCCTCATTAAACGAATGAAATCGATGATTTGAAAAGACAATTAAAAGAACCCGATTATCCAGTTGACCAAACTTTTGTGCACAGCTTCTCTGTTTGCTTATAATGATTTAGGTAGTGTTTGAGAAGACTACTTTTCTTGGGAAAAAGGAAAATGAATTCCATTTCTAGCAAAATTGTCTTGTTTGATGGCAAAAAGTTGACTGGAATTAATTTTCTTGGGATTCAGCTCACGCGCCATATTTCCTTGAAATTGTGGAAAATGATTTCCCACCACACCATTTTGGTGGGAAATCGTTTTCCAGGTTCTGATTTTAATTTATTATTATTATTTTTTTTGGATAATGGAAACAAATTTCATAACCAAGTGTAAAAAAATTTCACTTTCATGAATAATTTTAATGCAAACAAAGGTCAAACGAACACTAAATTTTGATTAAAAAAAATGATTTTTTAGGAAATATTTTTTTAACCTTTTTTTTTATTATTTACTTTTTGGCAACGGAAACAAATTTTATAACTAAGTGTAGAAAAAATTTCACTTTAATTGACAATTTTGATGCAAACGAAGGTCAAACAAATACAAAATTTAAAAATTTTTCGGGTGAAAAATTGTACCAATGAAACACACTTAATTAATAAAATAATTTCTAGACAATTACTTTCCCTAGAATTCATTTTCTTTCCATCTATTTTCCACCCTTGCAATCAAACGGACCCTTAGTTTCAATTTGCAAGATGCATTGTTCAAGTTGTAAGTGATCTTTAGTGCTTTGAATTTATTTTTTCCTACTCTTTGAAAAAGGTGTCATACTCATGTACTTGGTAGCCTAAGCTCAAAATCTCCCATACAAGGCACATAACTTAAAGATACACAGCGAATACTACTTTGCTATCAAATCAAATGGAGTTAGAATTCCTTGGGAATTATTACATTCTCACAACTCATTGAGGCTCTCACATATTTCTTGGCCATGAAGAGCACGTTGCCTTCTTCCTTTTTCTTATTGACATCCTCAATCTTTTCTTGGGCATTCATATCCCAAGAAACTAAATGTTAGTTTTTAGAGAAAGATATATAGGAGAAAATGGGTTATAGTGGAGAAGAAAGAGGAAAATTGACAAGATTACACTTTACTTAACTGAAAATTTGGATGAAAATAGATGAAAAGTGATCTTTTTCACAATCAAATGTGTAATTAATGGTGAAAATGTCAAAAAATGGAAGATAATGACATTTTTCACAATAATAATGAAATGTATGGACGTTATATGCTAATTACCTTTTTTATAAAGCATTTATAGAATGTGTAACTGTTGACATGTTAATAGATAGGCGTTCCATACGTCACGTCACGTCACGTCAAAATTAGAAAAAAGTGCAAGTTAGAAGGCATAATATTTGTGCATCTCCCATTTATGGCTCTAAATTGCTATGTTGTTAAAATTAGATTAGTAGATTTTTATAAAAGTTGATGAAATATGTAGTTAAAAAATTGTGGGACTCATAAAAATATATGGTTAAAATTAATTGATTATTTTAATTTACATTTTTAGATTTTAATCAATATCAAACATGAACTATATTTCACAAAAGCATAAAAAAAAATACATTTTTAAAAAATATTAATATATGTAAATTTGTATTTTTTTTTTTCATGAGCAATTAATATTGAACAGTTTTTTTTATTGGATAGAACACTATACACATCCTTTTTTTGTCCTATGTTTGAGTCTCATTTTTTTTGTTGAAAATGAATTTTGTAATATTAAATTTTTAAAGAACATGTGATTATAAAGAAAAAAAAAATTGAATTTACGTATCGAATAATTTATTAAAAAAATGTGAAATTAAAAATGAATTTGAGAGGAAAAAATAAATTTTTAAATAATAGGACGACATCGGCTAAACTTTTAAATCTTATTTGATTGGCTTTAAGGGTTTTTGATTGTCAATTTTTCATGAAAAATATTTTTCAACTTTTTAATCATGTGACCATATTTTATTCAAAAATAAGGAAAACATTTATTTATGGATAGATGATTTTTATTTTTTAAGTAACCCACCTTCTATTTTTCTCTAATTTATTTACCAATAAAAAATAGAGAAGTATAATATTTTTAAATTGAAAATTAAATAAATAAAATATATTTAATTAATAATTTTTATACAAATAAGTTCTAAATAATTCAATTACTTAAAATTTATTTTCCTCAAGCGAAAACTTCAACGAAAGCACCCTTGGTTATAAATGTGAAAAAACATAATAAAAACCTGACTGCGTGTCTTCTCTTCCCGAGTTCCCCACAAACAGATACGCGCGAAAAGAAAGAAGTATATAATCCCACCAAGCTATCCCTCCGCCTCTCTTCTCTTCCGGTCGTGCCTGACTGCGTCGTCTCCCTCGCCGTTTCTGAAGTCTCCCAAGGTAATTCTCGCCGACCATTCCTCACCCTTGGCTCCTATCTTCCAATACATAAAGATTTACATGTGTATCACATGTACATGTAAAAGAATAGATTTTTAGCTGCATAGCTTTATAGCTCTGCATTCATATTTATTGAAACGAATTGATTCTTGTGAAGTGTGTGAATATTGATATTGTTCTCGTATACTGATTTAGAATGTGGGTCTGCATAGGAATTCCACAGGTAGGTGTGAGATTTAGTTTTTTATTTTTCTATTTTTTTTACATTGATTTGGGACCCAAGCAAACTGAAAATTTTGAAAACTTGCATTTGGTCGGGTTTGGTTTGGTTTTAAAATTTAGGTTGGGTATGAATCGTATGATTTGGCTTGCAATGAACTAGGTTTCCGATTTGGCCCAAATCAGACCCAACCCGCAAGCCTACCCCTATTCGGTGGCATAGACGGGGAGTAGAAGACAGGTTATTAGGTCTATGGTGTAGAGTTTTGGTTCTGGACCTTCAGGTCAAGATCTCATATCTCCATGAATTTTACTTATATTCTCAGTATAATAAAAAATAAATAGAGTTGGAAAAAATGTTGGAGGAGAAGATTTTCGATGTGCAAATGAAATTGTGGGCACTTCGAACTCCAAGGGAGTCTTGCAAGCTGGCCACTCGAATTCTCAATGGGTACATTTTTTGAGCTTATCTTCCATTCAAGTCAATTTTCTTTGCAAATTTTGTATGCTATTATCTTATAAACAAAGTGATTAGTTACTGATTCTAGTGATTCTTTTTTGTTTGTGTGCGTAGATATTTGCTTGATAGGCCACGAATAAAGCCGATCACAGTAGATCCAACCTGCAATAAAAACCGATATATTATATTTTCTGAAAAAGTTCAAAATCCAGGTAACGTTTGTCTTAGCTCTTATAGATGGATGAATCAACACTTTATTCTTCTAATGGATTTTAAGATTTCCATCGTCTTCATGGACTAGTTTTCATACTAGCTGAGACAGAAGAGAGGTCATTTTTTCGTAGTCATGCCATGTTTGTGTTTCTTCACGTTTTCTTTCCGCCATCATTGTTATGTTAGTAGAATATAGTTATTTGAATTTTATTATTTGCAGTTACTAGTACATTATCAACTCATCATGTTCCTTTATTACATTAATCTAATGAACTTTCCCCCTTGGGTACGACAGATTTATCTGAAATTCCAAGTGAAAAACTTGACGAACTGAGAGAGAGCTTCAAGATTGAAGTAGTTCCTTATTCCCTCACACTTGGATATTCATATTGGGGTGCAGGTAATTTGCACAATCTCACAATGTATCTATAATTATTGCTAATTTTGGTGCCTTTTTTGGTACATTGGTGGATATTCATTGATAGAGTGGGAAATTGGATATTATTATCTCACTATCTTCCTTTTTTCCTTTTCTCAATTGTGATTGCTATTAATACAAGATTTTTGTTGGGGGAAAGGTAACTCAAGATACTAAGGATACATGAAAATTTTGGCTTTGCATATCAGAATAAGAAGATATTATTATATTTAATTTGAAATTTGGGATGACTTATAATTTAGTGCTAAGAATATATACTTCAAAAAGAGACCACTTAATAATTTTATGAATAGGCAAAAGTTTAATATACGAATTTAACCTTCTAGAAAAGTAGTAGTGCTTTATGCCCAAATATTAAGGTAATTCCTAGTGAGCGCAACAAGGGATGACGTTACACGATATGTTTGTTAAAAATAGAAAAGAAGTACACGAAGAGTTTTGAGTTCATAACAAGAGGGTGGAATTTGCAGAGTGCAAATGACTTTTAATAAAAGAGTTTTCAAGGATGAAAAATGAGATATAAACAGGGATCACTACGTGGCAAGGATGAGGTAGCAATTGCATTTGAAACAACAAATGAGGTATTAGTAGAATCTAAAGTCAACATAGTTTGAAGATTGATTAAAAAATATAAACCTTAGAAATAAGAGTTGCATACGATCTTCATTCATTTAGAAGAAGTCTATGGTATGAGATGAGCTACCAAAGAGAATAAATTTTGTTAGACATGTCTATCTTTCTAAAGATATATATAATAGAGTAGATACAAGTGTGAGGTCTAGTAACAATAGAAGAAAGATGATTTCGTATTCCTATTAATTTGGATTAACATTCTGCATATTTTGTTTTGCCAACTTACTAGATGTATAGAAGATGAGGTCATCTGGGGTTGGTGTATGAGTGTATGCTATTCATTGATGACAGAGTTTTTAGTTTATGAGATGAGAAAGAGATGAATTTTATGTTTGAATTTAGAATTTAAAGGTTTTGTGTTAAGTGGAATTACAACGAAATAGGTGAAATGTCCCTTTAGTCATAATAGGAATGAAAGATGATTAAGTTAGTAGTTTCCAAGAGTTATTGTTTAAAGGATTGGATTTTGATTATTTATGAGGAATTACAATGAAATAGGTGAAATGTCCCATTAGTCACAATAGGAATCTGGTTGCTTTTGATCCTGTGGAGTTGGTGTTACTGCTAAAGTTCTGCTGTTGCTGCAGAGGTTCTACTGGATTGGGTTGCTGCTGATGGTGCTACTTTGGGTCTGCTTATCGAACAGAAATGAATATGGACTAGTCAATAGGTTTGAAATGAAGAATGTAATAGGATTGCACTATTTTGATTACAGAATTGCTTTGGGGATCCCGACCACCTAGACTATAGCTTGCCTGGAAAGAGCTTGAGG